AACGCCTGAGGGCTCCCAGTATGTGAGAGGGGGCAGGCTGGGCTGAGGGACACTCCCCCCCCCCAGTGCACGAATTTCGTGCACCGGGCCCCTAGTTTTTTATAAAGAAAGAACATTTTATAGATGCTCTTTTTACCTCCCTATTTCACATTCTTCTTTTTTGACTTGTCCATCTGGAGACAGGGTGGTCCTAGGGCTCACTGCAGTGGCCTTGGAATGAGAAGAATTGAATACCTGACTTTGCCACCTATTGGCTGTGTGACTTTGTGTAAGACACTTAACTGCATGGAGTATTGGTTTTTCCTGAAAAATGGAGATAACTTATGCTTAACTGCCTAGGGTTGTTGAGAAAGGTGAATATGGTGAAGAATGTGGAAGTATTGTGAGATATTCTGCAAATGTAAAGTGTTAATACTTATAAATGTTAATGCCCAACCAACCAACACTTATTGAGTGCCTGTTATAGTGCAATCCCTATGCCAGATACAAAGAGTGTACAAAGGCATAGAGCCTTTTCTGTCATGGCTCACAGTCAAGTGTAGGAGGCAAACAAATATGCTAAAATCCAATGTGGTAAGTACAATAATGGAATTAAACCTCACTGGTAGTAGAGGAGATGGTACCTAACTCTGCTGATCTTCTCAAATTGCAGTTAAAACCAGCAACTTCTCCTCATCTTACTTGCTCATTTCCCCCTTTGTTATAGATTATAATACACCTTTAAAATGCCAGGCTCACCATCTTACTTCTTGCTCTCTAACCTCAGTGGAAAGATGTAAATGCCGCTGCCTGTGACCTCGCCAGAGAAGTGGCTGACAAAGGTGATGCTTTGGTAGCAGGGGGTATCTGCCAGACAGCAATATATAAACAGGACGCGGATGAAGCAAGAGTTAAAAGACTTTTTCGACTACAAGTAGAGGTTTTTACCAGGAAAAATGTGGACTTCTTGATTGCAGAGGTAAGTCTAGTGTTATAGGGAGAGTGTTAAACTTATTGACAAGTATAACTGAACAGTCTTCAACTTCCATGAGAGTATTGGATTGCCTTATGCCCTCATTCCCTCCGATGGTCAAAGGTTTATTTAAATGCACTATAGTCAACATCCTCTCACTCGGATGCTCTGTTCTCTGTGAAGCCAAAGGACAGATCCAGGAGAGGCCCAGCCTTGCTTTTCTAGGGCAGGTGGTTGCAGCAGCTGACTCTCAGGAGACACTGTAACATGGGGTCAGAGAAAGGGGACAGGGATTCAGGGAGTATCTCCCCCTGAAGGAGGGACAGGCTACAGAAGGGATTAAAGCCCTGGAGGTAGGTGGATGCTCAGGCTCCTCCAGAACCCACCAGTAATCCTCAGTACCAGTAGCTCCCTTGTTCTCCTCCATCCTTGCTCCCTCTTGCCTCCCTGTTCCCACTCAAATTATAACATGTGAGCAATATTTTAAAGAAAGAAACAGAAAGAATCGGTTATTGACTGAACAGTAGGCCCAAAACATTCTCTTCCTGCCTCTTCCAAAAATTAAAAAGCCCTCATTCACCATTTACCATTACAATTGCTAGAGTCGAGTCCTCAATCCAAGCCTTCACCTCAACAAGGACAATAGCCTACCAACTGCTATTTCCCCAATCACTCTATTGAGCCTATTGAAAACCTTGCTTCTGCAGCCTTTTGAAGGCTTAGGGCCACCTACAGCGGAGCACAAACACACCCATATCTTTTGACTCTGTCATCCTCACACACTGCTTCTGCAGAATCTGTTTCTAAATCAAGAAGGAAGAAGCAGGGAGATTTCTGCTAGCTTTTCTTCACCTAAGTTCAGCTTTTCGACTGTGGCATTAAGGGATTTCCTGAGAGACACCCCTGCAAATGTCATAAATTTATCAAACAGGGTGTCCTGTCCACCATTCACAAAGAAACTCGGTAGCTATCCCTCCCCACTCTGTGCCTCAGTGTTCTCATCTGCGGGAATAATCATATTTCCAATCCTCCTTTATGGAACACTTATGAATGTATTGCACTATTTTCCATACAAACAAATGTAAAACTATTTTTGCCCCACCCTGTATTGTTAAAGGAATTAAAATATTTACTCAGAAAGGTATTCTTTAGTCAGTCTGAGAGAGACACATTCCTTAGCAAGTTTATTACATATTATATACTCGGTTATTTTTATAACAACGGTTTTGCAACATTTACATGCTACCACTCAAAATCTGCTTTATATTTGGACCAATAGAAAGCAATGCAATTTCTCTTAGTATTTTGAGAATGCTGAGGAAGCTGTGTGGGCTGTGGAAGTCTTAAAGGAATCCGGGAAACCTGTGGCAGCTACCATGTGCATAGGCCCAGAGGGAGACAAGAATGACGTAACACCTGGAGACTGTGCTGTGAAGCTGGTGAAAGCAGGTAATGTGGACTCATAGTGTGATAAGCTGCTCAGTTGTTGTTTATGAAATTCAGCAAACTTTGCCTAACATTGTCAGGGCAGTTCAGAACTAAAAAATTGAACTGGAATTGTTTTCCTCATCGGTAACACTTGGGAGGCAGAGATAGTAACCTCTAAGGCACCTTCTAACTGTCAAAAAATAAAAAAGTAAAAATAAAATGTGCCTGGCCAGTGTGTCTCAGTGGTTGAGCATCAACCTGTGCATCAGGAGGTCACAGTTAGATTCCCAGTCAGGGCACATGCCCAGGTTGTGTCTCAATCCCCAGTTGGAGGCATGCAGGAGGCAGCCGATCAATGATTCTCTCTCATCATTGATGGTTCTATCCCGCTCTCCCTCTTCCTTCCTCTCTAAAGTCAATAAAAATATATATATTTTTAAAAATGTAAACATTTTTTATGTCTTTGCATAGGGGCTTCAATCGTTGGCGTGAACTGCCGATTTGGGCCTGGGATCAGCTTGAAGACAATGAAGCTCATGAAGGAAGGCCTCCAAGCTGCAGGATTGAAAGCACATCTGATGGTGCAGTCTCTGGGGTTCCACACACCTGACTGTGGCAAAGGAGGGTTTGTGGATCTCCCAGAATATCCCTTTGGTAAGCTCAGGTGCATATTAGAGGTCCCTGAGATTTCCTGTTGTGACATAATGAACAGCTATGGTTCATCTTACAATTCAAGACTGCCTAAGCCAAAAACATGCAATATTAACCAAAAATGAGCTATCTGAAGAATGCATAATCTAAAATTTACAGTTTTTTAATTTAAAAAGTAACATCAACATTCATCAGAGCATCTATCATCTGAAAATGGAGATGGTAACAGAAATGCCATAACTATTACATTCTAGGACTGGAGCCCAGAACTGCAACCAGGTGGGACATTCAAAAATACGCCAGAGAGGCCTACAACCTGGGGGTCAGGTACATCGGCGGGTGCTGTGGATTCGAGCCCTATCACATCAGGGCGATTGCAGAGGAGCTGGCCCCAGAAAGGGGCTTTTGGCCCCCCGCTTCTGATAAGCATGGTATTTGGGGAACTGGCCTCAATATGCATACCAAACCCTGGATTAGAGCCAGGTAGGAATTTTTACATTAACAACACTATTTTCCTCAAATCTTATTTTATTTATTATTGCACATACTATGTGTGCCTATGATAATAAAAATTCAGGAAGTGAATTGTATAAAATGAAAAGTATAAGTTGCTTCCCTCCCGACACCAGTCCCAGTCCCAGAGATAGCCTGCTTGGCATTTATATTTTGAAGTCTTGTACCTCCATTTCTTGTTTTACCAATTGTAAGTGGTAATTGCCTTTTGTGAAAGCTGAGGAATTTAAATCACATGATCATCTCCTTTCCTATGTTCTCCTTTTCCTAATTTGACTTATTACATTTTTATTTTTTCAACAATTTTTGATTGTCTTTTTAAGTTTGAATTTCATATTTAACCACTTATTCCTTAATCCATCAACATGAGGCAGTATCTGCTTATTCCACTCCTGCTGCCCTCTACTTTTTCTCACTTACCTATTTCTTGGTTTCTTTGTTATACCAATACTTTTATATTATCAAGATTCATAACCATTGTATTTTGCTCTGTAATTATAGTTAAGTCCTCCAAGATTTGTCTGTAAGTTTATTCTAAAAATGTAAATAACATTTACAATATTACTATAATTGTCATATTAAACAAGCAGGACTCATAAAATACAAATCAGAACACAACTTTATTTTTCTCTTCATCTGTTTATATATAAATTTCTAATTAACTTCCGTTTTCATTGTTGAAAGAAGAATAACAGGTCTTTGCCTTCTCTAATATCTTCTTTTTTCTAAATTACACTATTTGTTACAATCAATCCATTTCATCATTGAAGACATTGTGGAGGGGAAGAAGGGGAGGAAATTACTGTTCTATTTGCATCTCTGATTCTCTCTGTCTCTCTCTTCAATAGAATGTCATTCCTTTCCCATCTTCCAAAAACTAGTCAAGATATCTGCTGTCTCCTCTTTTCTATTCAGTGCTGGTATATATTTAATCCATTTTATACATCTTTATCCATTTCACTGGGATTTAGAATACTCTTCATTTTTGAACTGGAATGACTTTCCTAATGTAAATTTATTTAGATTGTAAAAGTAGACAAGAAATCATTTATCCAAACATTTTTGGGGGGAGATATAGACATTTATTACAGAAGATGGTTTCTATACTGTAGATATCATACTTAGAAAAAAAGTACTCAATCTATATACATAAAAACCTAAGCAACCGATCACTATGATATGCACTGACCACCAGGGGACAGATGCTCAATGCACATGATCAGGCTCCCTCCTGTCTGGATCGGGCCTGTGTGGATCAGGCTGAAATCGGCTCTCCAACATCCCCCAAGGGGTCCCGGATTGCAAGAGGGCACATGCCAGGCCGAGGGACCCCACCGGTACACGAATCCATGCACTGGGCCTCTAGTATAAGTATAATTAAATGAGGAAGAAAGCATACTTTAGTGATGATTGATATCCTTCAGATAAGTGAGAAACAATTTATTTTAATTATCATTGTCCAAAAAAAAAATTATCATTGTCCAGGTGACTTTAAAATGCATTAGCCACTAAAGAGAAAGCATTATTCTCTAGAGTAAAACCACACACTCCTTGAACCCTGAACTCCCAAACATACTGATGTTTACAGATATTTGTGATTACACAGAAACCTGTATGCACCCAGATTTCTGACATTTTTATCATCCCAATATATTAATTTATTCATTGTTTCATAAGTAAAGGGGGAAAATAACTAAAATTATATTTAACACAAAGGTCTGTGACCAGGAACCTTTGTACTCTTCTTTCTATCTAAACGCAGGGAATAAATACTGACAAAGTTATTTGAATTCTGCTTTTCGTTACTTTTTGAAGAATTATATTTTGGCTCATTACATTAAAAACCATCTTCATAGCCCTAGCTGATTTGGCCCAGTGGATAGAGAGTTGGCCTGCAGACTGAAGAGTCCCAGGTTCAATTCCCGCCAAGGGCACATGCCTGGGTTACGGGCTCGATCCCCAGTAGAGGACATGCAGGAGGCAACCAATCAATGATTCTCTCTCATCATTGCTGTTTCTATCTCTCTCTCCCTTTCCCTCTCTAAAATCAATAAAAATATATTTAAAAAATATTTCTTAAAACAAAACAGACAAAAAAGCCCATCTTCATAGACTTGTTATTGCATTAAAATATTGAGTAGAACCCTGCTACAAATTTCAGAATGAATATCCTATATAATAAAAGGCTAATATGTTAAGTGTTCGGCCTTCCATTCAACCAATCAAAGCATAATCTATAATAAAAAAATCGTAATATGCTAATTAGACCAGATGTCCTTCCGGACATCCTCCCTGATGAAGCCAGGGCTGCGAGGAAAGCCTGGGTCCTGGGTGCCAGAGGGAAGCTGGTGCTGGCAGCAGGGGAAAGAAGGCCTACTCTTGCATGAATTTCGTGCATTGGGCTTCTAGTATGATGATATGGTAAGGCCACTCAACTGCTCACTATGACATTCACTGACCACCAGGGGGCAGACACTCTGACTGGTAGGTTAGCTTGCTGCTGGGGTCCAGCTGATTAGGACTGAGCAAGATGGGCTGAACTCGCCCTGGAGCCCTCCTTCGGTCCCACCCCGGCTGGCCAACCTCCCACATCCCTCCCTGACCAGGATCTATCATGCACTGGTGGGATCCCTTAAGCTTCTAATACCTTAGAATAGCAATTAATATCATAATCTTGAAAACCAGATAGACCTGAATTTAAGTCCCTTGGCCTGGCCTGCACCCTCTCGCAATCTGGAACCCCTCGGGGGATGTCAGAGAGCCAGTTTTGGCCCAATCCCACAGGCCAGGCCAAGGGACCCCACTGGTGCACAAATTCATGCACCAGATCTCTAGTAAGTCTATAAGACTCAAACACATTGTCTTTTTCTGACAGGTGGTATGAAGCCTTATGATTGTTACTGAGGATAGAAATTTGAGAAAGACCCCTGGAAATGAACGGATATGAACACAATTGTTCTGTCTTTATATTGAAACTGAATCTCTAGTTTATCCTGATTATTCACCTAATTGATATGTATTGTGTATATATATGATACAAATCTTTAAATTAATTAACTATATTTTTTAAAACACAGGGCTAGAAGGGAGTATTGGGAAAACCTGCTGCCAGCTTCTGGCAGACCTTTCTGTCCTTCGTTGTCAAAGCCAGACAGCTAAGGAGCAGTGAAAACCCTGGAATAATAAAACAGAAAGAAAACCCCCTCGAACCTCATCTGGACCCCTCCTCATCTTTATCATCAGCCCACTGTGATGTTTCCAGCCGCTGAACAGCTCATGTGAGGCAGCCCCGTCAGTGAATTCTACACGCGAGCATCCCACTCCTGACGGATGCTGCAGAGGACACAATGGTGATGAGAAGCGCTCCTTGTTCTCAATATTTACTGTCCAGGAATTCTGCAGTACATTGTTTTTCAGATTATCAAGAATAGCAAAAAAAATAAAAATAAATACCTTAGAAGCTTAAGAACAGCTAACTGAATAGCAATTAATATCATAATCTTGAAAAACAGACAGACCTGAATTTAAGTCCCAGGTCTGCCCCTGTTTGCTGTAATGATAGTGCCTAGCACATATGGTTGTCATGTTTATTAATATGATAAAAGGTTCCAACAACAGAATGTGGTAATAGACATTTGTTACAATAGACTGTTCTACTGCATGAGTTTATGAGTTTATTCCAATCATGTGTAATAGTTCTAACTAGAAGTTTCAACTTGTAAGGTATAAATGAAAAATAATTTTATTTTTTCCAAAAAGAAAAAAAGAATAATGAAACTTGTCTTTGGGATGAATTAGAGATTTTAAAACAATCAGAAGTCACTGTGCACGAATCTAGTGATTAATTCAGGTGACTAAGCTAGGTGCTTGAGGAAGGTGAAGTGGCATTCTGAACTAACATAACGAGTCTGCTTTTCTTATATATGATTTATATGATTCCAAAGGCAGTCCTGAAGGAAAAGAAGCAAAAACCAATTTGAGCAATGGAAGGATTGTTGAAATAATTGTATAACCTTCCAAAGTGATTAATTTTGAAGATGATTTTACTTACACGTGACAGGATCTAGAGTTTTTTTAATGTCTTTATAATCATAAATAGCTAGATTACAAAATATTTAGGGACAAAGACCATGTGGTATACTTCTTATATTTTTCCTTATAGTATTTAGCATTGTGCTAGGCATAATAATAGATGCTTAATAATAAACAGTAAATAAATACTTACTGTTTAAAATAAGTAAAAACAAACAGTTTTAGAAGACTTAAAAAGTTGGAGTTCAAATCTATCTTGGTCTACTATTTTCTTGACTTATTTTCTATGTACTGATTTCTCTCTGTTTTTTCAAAATAATGTATCAACTTGTGAAAATTAATAAAAGTAAAAATAATATACCTCTTACAGTGTTTAAAATTTTATGGCTCTTTCTTTGAAAATAATAACAAATATTTATTACTTATATTCTAGACTCTTGCTTTTCTTTCTCAGTGTGAGAGTGAATGCTCACAATTGTCTAGTAGATAAAGTAACAGCTTGTCTAGTAGATAAAGATCGTGTAAAAAGGCAAGAGCAAGAACTAAGAGGCTACATAGGGAGAAGGGGCTATCCTTCACTCTCCCTTCCCTGTGTCTGCACTAGTATGAATGAAAACTTTCATCCAGTTTCATACCATAGAGTTTAGAAATGGTGTAGTAAATAAACAGGAATTATATATGGTGGTTGATAAATATTTTAAAATCTAGGTCCCTTGGCTCACAAGAAATGAAAATCATTTGAGGTCCATATTAGTTAAGAGCAACTCATTTAGATTTTTAGAAAGAGTCAAGCCATTCAGGTTTTCCGATTGACAATTGTGATGGATACCAAAAAAATTTTAAATATATTCTTCAGAGTTTGTTGGTCATAGACGTGACATGAATTGAAAGATGCAAATAAGGAAATTAATAAGGAAAGGGAATTTGAAGAAGATACACAGA